CCTCCCCCCCGGTACTCCCCACCCCACCTCCATCCTCCCATCCAAGTACTCCAGGCCCGACCCTGCTTAGCTTCCGAGATCAGACGAGATCGGGTGCTTTCAGGGTTGATGGCCGTAGACTCCACCTCCATCCTATTATCCTGCCACCACCTCCCTCCTGTTACTCCTGCCCCAGTCCGTCCTGACTCTCTGCCCCAGCTTCTATCATCTACACACTGTGAAGTGGCTGGGTGTCCCTTCCCCAGGAGATGGCATCCCCCTCGACCCCCCTCCACACCTCACTCCACTCTCCACGCCAGACCCTGCTGCCTCTTAAGATGCTCACCACACATCCTTGGGCCACAGAGTAGATTAGGACCACTATGAAAATACACAAGACGGTGCGGATCTGGATCGTCAGGCATCCTGGAAAACACTGAACAATACAACACGTTACTGTAAAAACAGGTGTTTATTAAGGATTGGTTCACGTGCACAGAAATGGGCACAATGCTGCTGGGCCCCCACGCAAGGCTCCCTTCCACACACGCTCCATGCTGAGCTCAGGCTTCACCTCCCAGGTCAACAAACTGCCCAGATCAAAAGAAACAAAAACTAAGGTCTTTAAGCTAAAAAGAACCACACCAGCCACCATGTACCCCCTGCTGTGACGGTGGCATCGAAGTATGAGACATTTTATCTCAGAAACAAGGATTTACGTTTACTTGTGTCTTCTCTTACATGCTCCAAGTAAGTTTTGTCATTTTCACCACAGAGGCTTTGCGTCACTTTTGCTATTAGAAACTTCACTGTAAATCTATTTAAGTACATTCTGCGATATTCAACACGCAACTGACTTCATGGATAAAGGTGCCAAGTTCTTTTTAGATTCACCCTCATGAAATTGGAAACAAAAGCTACAGTAAACACAGCAGGGACTCTGCCCAGGATGCTGACGAGACCCCCGCCAGCCAGGGTGCCCAGGCCACTACAGGACTACCCGCCATCCTCCCCCGGGGAAGTGAGGACCCTCGCTGTCCCCAGTCTGCGGCGAGCAAACACGGCCCTGCCAGCCAGCCTCCCTCATTCCACGGAGCTCACACAGTTGCAGCTACGGATCTGGGTCCCATTCAGGATTCCCGAGCCCCAACACTGCTGCGTTGTGCAGACACGCTGGGGCCCCCAGATCTGAGAGAGAAGAGATCTGTGGCAGCACCAGCCCCGACTGCCTCATGGACCTGGTGCCCGCCACCTCCCTCCCCGTCTAATCTCGTGTCAGCCCTGGGACAAGGCTGAGGATGTGGCCATGGGATTCTCGCCCCCCAGCCGACAAGGCACACGCAGCTCACACATTCACTCAGCAAACACTGGAGGGCTCCTCCCCGCGGGGGACGTCAGGAGCCCCGTGGGGACACTGCCCAGAGCCTGGCCCCTCGTGCCCTGGCAGAGGCAGAAACAGCACAGAGGTCCCTCAGGGAGGCGGTGAACGGGTGGCCGCCAGCCAAGGCCCAGCAAGCCCTGCCCGGGGTGCACAGGGGCCAAAGTGGAAGGCAGCCTGGAGCCAGATCTGCGGTGCCGGGGGAGGGCAGCTAAGCAAGGCTCAGGGGCACAGAATTGTGGGCCTGCCAGGATGAATGCACCATTCCCATTTGTGTGGCAAATGGCCAAACAGTGGCAGGTTCCTACAGGTTCCATACAAGCTGCCTGCATGGATTCTCCGGGCCCGGTCCCTCCCTTTGAGCTCTACATACAGTGCACGCTAACTGCTCACTTGATGCTTTATTTATGGGTGGGAATCTATTGAGTCCCGGGCACTGATTCCTCCCTGCCCCTGCCACAGCACAAGAGTCTCATCCAGAGATCTGATCTTTTCCTAAAACCCAGGCTTTGGAGCCACTGACCCCAGCCGACCCCACAGGACCTGGCACACTGCCTCGCCAGGCTAGGAGGGCACGCCGGGAGCCGTGACGTGGGCCAGCAGGAATCAAGGGGTGCTGTGGCTTTGCATGACCTCGTCACCCTTCTCCTGGGCCCTGCTTCAGGGCCGCTGAGTCCTGGCCAGCTGTGTGCTCAGCACCAGGACCCAAGCTGCATGAGCATGGGGACATGGGACATCGCCAGCTCACATTCACAGGACCCCGTTGGTTCCTGCTCACCCCACTAGACAGGCATCTCCCCTCCCCTCAGCCCACCCTGGGGGCTTCCAGTCCCATCAGAGGCAAGACCACAGCGGACACAGATTAACTCATGAGCTCGCGGGTGGGTGGGAGCCCCCGGAGCGGAGCGGCCAGCTGCCCCGATATGTGAACCACAGCTCAGGCTCTGGATGGGGTTCAGAGCAAAGCCCAGTCATTCTCTGGAGACACTCTGGTCCTGCTCCCGGGCCTTGGCCACGGGCCAACAAGGTGCCAGCGGACTTGAGCCACCTCCTGAGCAGGGTGTTGTGCGACCCTCCAAGCCTGGAAGGTGGGTGTGCACGGACAGCAACCCCCCATCACCGAGTGGGAGAGGCACATATGTGATCGGACCCAGGCAGGCCCAGGGGCCACACATACATTACACCAAGGAGAGGCCCAGACACCACGGTCCCCACTCCTGTTACACCTGTGATCATTCACGATCAGCTGACGGAGGAAGAGAAGACTCCGCTAGCTTCCAGCAGGTTCTACACGACCTGAAGGCACCACCCAGGGTGGGCAGCTGCAGCCGCAACGACCCCCTCTGGCTTGTCCCTGAAGGATGGTGACGGTAAATCCTGCCAATGGGCAGAACGCCAGATGGTGCACCTGCTGGGTGCTCTGGTTGGAAGGAGAAGGGGCCAGATGTGCCATCATTCACTGACTCCCGGGCCCTGGACCATGGTCCAGCTGGACGGTTAGGGAGGCAGAAGGAGCGTGACTGCAACAGTGATAAGGAAGTCACCGCTGGGGCACACGTCTGTGGAGAGACCGTCTGGGGGGTGCGGAAAACACCAGTGTTCCATGTGAATGCTACCAGTGGGGGACCTCGGTGGACAAGGAGTGTAATAATCGGCGGGGGGAGCACCTGTCAGCCCCTTTCCCCAGCTGCCCCTGCCACCGCCCCACGGACTCATGGACAGAGTGGCCATGAGGGCAGGGACAGAGGTGACGCTCAGCAGCACGGACACCCACTCACCAAGGCCAACCTGACCACAGCCACCAATGCACGCCCAATCCCAGCAGAGACCAACAGGGAGCCCCCGACAGGGCACCCCTTCTCCTAATGGGAGTCACGGGGAAGGGATTCTGGGAATGAGCATCCATCCGGGCCCAGGAGACAGAGCACAAAGCCACGCGACCCCCTTGCTGGCCGGTCACGCCACCAGCCTCAACCCCGCGGCCCCGCAGCAGCAGGACTCTCTAGCCTCCCTCCATTCTCACTGGGGAACACAGCAGGTACATGCTGCTCTACCCCCCGGTCTTATCACGACCCCCGCTCCCGAAGCACACAGCTCACGGACCATCTGAAACGCCCTTCTGAAGACTCAGTTACGGTGCGGGCTCAGTGCCCACTCTCGCAGAGCCGGGGTCACGTCCTCCTGGCCCCTGCGGCGCGGTCCTGGCCTCGCGGCACACGGCGGGACCGTGGAGAACACCATGCCAAGGGAAACAGCGCAGTGTTCCCACAGATTGTCCCATGACCCTTAAAAATGATTGTTAAAATATCAAGACGCTCGGCATGTGATGTAATGAGCACTGGGTGTCATGTGCAACTGATGATTCACTGAACTCTACCTCTGAAACTAATAATACACTATATGTTAATTAAATGAATTAAAATTAACTTAAAAAATATATCAAAACTCTCTTACTGTTGTTTATAAAGACAGACTTAAAAACCAGTGAGGCTGGTGTGTATCTGGTATGCTTGCGATGGGCACAAAATGGTCCCCACGGTCTCTCCCTCACTGCCTGGGCCCGTGAGGAGCCACGGTCCCTCGACCACGTGGCAGCCCACGGCAGAGGGTTGCAGCCGTGATCGGCCTCAGCAGTGGGCGGACTCTGTTACTCACCAAGGACAACCGGGTGGACCCAGGTCAACCACACCAGGTCTTTAAAGCCAGCAGGTGGCAGAAGGGGGAACAGGCGGGCTGGGGGCATGGGAGGGACTCCACACTCTGGGGCTGGCCTGGGGAGACTGGAGAGGAGCCACCGGGAGCTGGGGTGACAGTCCCACCACCGCCCAAGCCGGATCTCACCGACGGTCAGCCTGAAGGAACCCCCACAAAGCCTGTGGGCACCTTCCCTTTGGCCGCGCGCTGCCCAAAGCGGGGAGCCAGCTGGCCGTGCCCGCCCTCGGACTGCTGAGGCTGTGGTCACCTGTCGGGCAGCAACAGGAAGAGGGGACAGATGCTGGAAGTGGGGAGTGCTCGAGACCGGGAGGTGGGGGCGGGAGTCCGAGCACAGTCCTAGCGCAGGACATGCCCGCCCAGCCCCTGCTTCATATTCATCTCCTCTGCTCTTCTGCCCTGCAGACGCCAGACTTCCCCAGGGACGGAAACCCGTCTGGCAAAGGAGGAAGGCCAAACCGCAGGAAGGAATCCCTTCTACGTGGGGGCGGTCGGACGTGCGCCCCTGTGTCTTCGTGCTGCTTCCCTGGAGGGCTCTGACTGGCAGAAGCCAGAAGCCAAAGAGGTCCCTTCCCCGCTCGGGGCGTGACGAATGGAGGTACAGCTGGCTGTCTGCGGGTCCCCACGAGGAAGGCCAGCTTGGGCTCAGGCAGGCCCGAACAGGCAGGAGAGGGCCCAGAGAACACATCCCCGGTCTCGGCTGCCGATCGGAGTCACTGGAGAGCACGAGCCCCGGGTCATCCCACCCCACCCCACCACCGTGTCTGAATAGGCGAGACAATCAGTTCCCTTTGGCATCCAAGACCAATACGTGAGCTGGCTATTCTGTGACCTGCAAATTCACGTTCCTTAAGGCCACCACGCCCACACCCCAGGTGGGAGCCTTGACTGCCAGCCATGGGCTGCTAAGACCTTCCCTCCTCACGAATACCTGATCCTAGAAATGTGGTTGCTCAAATGCAAAGGGTTAAAACGCTTTTCTGAAAAGTGAACAATGCTGGTCACAAAGACGGACGTGGGGCGGAGCCCGCGTGCTGTGGGCCACACGTGGGCTCCAAGGGGCCTGTCTTAGCTTTAAGGCTGGTGGTCTACTTATCCTTGCGTTAATTTGCTTATATATCCAGGGAGCAAAAACAGGCATGGAAAATTGTTGTAATCCGGGAAAAAACAGCGGATCTGACCTGAACCCAGGCGAACCACCCCAGAGCATGAACCACAGTTATCAAACGTGGCCCAGCGGATTGTCGGGGGTTGCACATCCTCCTGGCACACCGTCCCCACAAAAGGCAGCCACGCTAACTCCAGCCACGGCCACATGAGCACGTGCAAGCACGACAGATGCAGAACGTCTCCAAGGCCACCAGTGGGCAATGCCACAGAGCACCACGGGACGTCTGCCTCTCCGTGGAGCGGGCCATGCCCGGGACACACCAGGAGGAGGCCACGTCCGTGTGCACCAACCTGGGCATGCTCTGCCGGGTGACCCGAGCCTGAGCCTCGTGGCCGAGGGTTTGCGAGACGAGGCAGGTGTAGCAGCTGTGGCCTCTGCCACTCAGCGCGACGCAGCCTGCTTTCACTGGCACCTGGAGGTGAAGGCCCAGGATGACGTGTCTGCCAGGGGCAGGGCTTGTGCAAGTCTGAGCAAGCAGCAGGGTGAGCATCTCTGGGCTGTCACGCACGGACACAGCAGAAACCACCTGCCGGAGCCCCGATCACAGCTGGTGCTGGACGAGGCCGTCTTCCTCTTGTGCATCTGTCCCTTCTGCTCACAGCGCGGGCTCCCCAGCCCCCAGCTGGCCCCGGGGCAGGGACCCCCCCCCGACAGCAAAGCGTACCTGACCCCGAAGAGGCTCCCTGACAGTCCTGACAGAGCCAGCGACCACCCCTCGCGGCCGGCTGGTCCAGCTCAGCCCCCTTCTAGCTCTCACCCCACACCCTCAAGCCCACTCTCTTGCTGGCCCCTCCTCCCCATCCCGGCCTCCTGGCCCCCTCCTGGCCCCACTGATGTGTATCAGCTCAATTCCCACCCCGTGTCACAGACGGGGACTCAGAGGTCCCAGGGCCAGCAGCCCCCAGCAATAGGGGCGCCAAGCGGGGGGATGAAGGTGCCGGGCAGCCAGAGAGCTGGCCCAGCTGCCTGGATGCCCTGGCTGTGGCCGCCTGCCCTGTCCCAGCAGAAAGCACCTGCCCAGCTGACTCACGCTTTCCCACAGAGGCCTCGCTACCGCGGACCCAGGCTCACCCACGTGCGCAGCCGTGCCCACCCATATCTGTCTTCCATGGCAGACGTCGGCCTCTGCCGATGGCCCGGCCCCACCTGCCGGCCACCACCCCTCCCCAGCCTGATGCCACCACCTGTGCTCCACGGTCTCTGGGCCCCATCGCAGGGTGGACGCTCAGAGCTAGCTCAGGGACACCGCCGGGAGTGTGAGACTGAATTCCACAGGATTCGGGCTGAGACCACCTGTGCCAGGAGGAGCACGTCCACCCCAGCACTGGCTCCCAGCTCCCCAGGGGGCTGTGGCAGGCTCTAGAAGCCAGCTCCACCTGGCACGTGCTCACCGAAAATTATGTGAATACACCATCTTACTCAAAGTGGAAAATGGCAGTTTCCAGTCCAAGTGTGACTCTATGAAGACCCAAAAACTGGAAGTATGGTTTAAATCAATAGCATTTTTTCAATTAAAAAAAAAAAAAAACAAGAAGTTACCTATGAATAACAAAGAAGTTAAGTGAATAAAACCAAATTTAGTTTTTAAAAAAGTTGCGGTTTCCAACAATTATACAAAGATAACACCGGGTCTGCTAGACGTGGTGGTGGAGTAACACGGGGAAATAGGGTGTGTGGAGACACAGATGGAGGCCACACAGGGCTGGGACCAAGGGTTCTCCCAGGAGCACAGCTGCCCCGGTGCCATCCCAGCAACCCCCCACCCCAGAGGTCACAACAGCAAAGCCAACGGAGAACCCTCCACAGTGCAGGTGCCCCGTCCACCGCACGAGCGCACCACAGACCGCTGGTCCCTGCCCTGAGAGATTCTGCACTCAGGAGAAGGTGACACACCGGGTGGGCCTCACTCCATCACTACAGACTGCCTGCCCTGTGTCCCTGTGTGCCCCCAGAACTCCAAGCAGGACCTGGCACACGACAGGGCTTCATGAGCTCCTGCTCTTCCAGAGGGCGAGGGTCTCCACTGCCCCACCTGTCCTATCAAGAGGGCAAGCTGAGGCCATACATGTACCTGTCCAGGTGACATACAGATGCAAGACACCCATGTACCCGTACCAAGCAATGTGTAAGACACATGCACGCACACACCTGGACCCAGGTGGATGTACAGGTATGGGACACATACACATGCACACGCACGCACCTGGACCCGGGTGATGTGCAGGTACAGGACACAGGCCACCAGGAAGCAGATGCAGAACACCAGCAGCAGGAGGACGACCATGTTCCTAGAACAGAAGACACAGGGTCACTGCGGGCTGGGCCCAGCAAGGTGTGCCCCAGAAGAGCCTGCGATTCCAACCCCTGACCTCTCCACCAAGTCCCTTCCTGTCTCCACTCCGACTTCTATCCACTTGGGTCTGCCACGAGGTCCTCCCTCTGGAAGGACAGGCCCCTGGACGCTGCCCTCCCGCTGGATGTCATCTGGGAGCAGCTTCTGTAGAAAAAGCTGAATCCCCACACAGGGCCATCAGGTGGTCACCGTGTTCCCAGCGTCCAGGGATGGGGCAGCTTCCTGTGCTTTCTGGAAACTCTGGAAACTCGAAGGGGAACAACTCCGCTAGGGAGGTCTTGTCAAGAAAGCTGTTTGTCTGGAAGGAAAATGCGTCTTCCTGCCAAAAACAAACACTGCAAGCTCATTTTGACTTAGCATAACTGAATTATTATTCAATTACTACACTTTTCTTCCTTTCCAGAGACCACTTTTCCTCATTTTGATGTATCTGAAAATGACAGATACCTAGAAACCAATGTGCATTTTCTCCCTCGAAATCCGTCCTGGAGTCAAGGGTACACGTTGTGTGGATGGAAACGCTGGGAACAGCTGGTACCTTAGGGCTGTTTGCACAACAACGGAGAACCTGGGAGCGAGCGCCCCACACACGGCCACCGGGGCCTGCCCTCCCAGCTCCCTGGAAGAGCACGTGGACAGCTGGCCGTGGCCGGCACCAACCCTGCGAGCTGGGGACCACGGGGGAGATGCCAGCGGACACAGAAGGAACCCCCGGCCCTTCTCCCCCAACCGCTGACCACGGGGCCCGCCACACTTACTGCGGGATGATGAGAAGGTAGACGAGGCCGAACAAGGCAGCCAGGACGAGCGCGAGCACGACGGCACTGGTGAAATACTCGTCCTGCAGCTGGTGGTACTAGGAGACACCGAGATCCGCCATCAGTGGCTGCAGCCACTGGGAGACACGCGGGGTCCCCCGGGGGCACCCAGGACTGGGGACCACAGCTGCGTTGACAAGAGCAAGGGCAGGAGGCCACAGCCAAGGGGGCCCTGGGGTTCTCCGCGCTCCTGAGGGTCCTGGTCACCTACCTTGCGCTCGCGCTCAGCCTGCTTGTACTTCAGGGTGAAGAAGTCCAGGTCCGCCATCTCCAGCTCCATCTGGCGGGCTTCTAGGAGGCGGCTGATGTACCTGTTGACGCGCGTGCCTGGGGTGGTGTAGACGACATTCGCAGAGAAGGACGAGCGGTTTCTGAGTTTTTCAGACGCGGTTCTCAACGCCCTCCGCTGTAGCCACGGGGGAAAGAAAGAAATGTTAGCAAATCCTCCACTTATTGATGAAAAAGCTCTCACGCTCCCTCCAGCCTGTGTGCTCGCCCACTGCAGTCTGGGGGGCCGGGTTCGGGGCTGAGATGCAGTCCCATCTCCCCCATCTAGGACTCCCATGTCTGCAAATGGGGGCACGTGACATTCATGTGGCACCCCGTGTGGATGGGGGCGGTACCCAGCACAGGGCAATAAAACAGAGGTTGGTTCTTTTAAAATATCAATAAAATGGACAAATCTCTAGCAGGCATGCCAAAGAAAAAAAGAGAAAGGCCATAACAAACTCGGGAATGACATGTGATTCTACTACAGAACTTGCACACATCAAAAGGGTAACAAGGAATTTCTGTGAACAATTATACACATTGATTTGAGAACTCAGATCAATGAGCTACTCGAAACAACCACAACTCACCCAACATGAAAGATTATTAGATTAGCCCTGTAATTACTAAAGAAAGTCAATTCATAACTGTAAAACTCCTGAGAAATTAATCTCCAGGCCCAGAGAGTTTCACTGGAGAATTCTACTAAACATTTAAATAAGAACACCAATTCTATACAATCTCTTCCAAAAAATGGAAAAGGTAACACCTTCCAACGTACTTTATAGAGTCAGTATTATCCTGATACCAAGATCAGACCAAGACAGTACAAAAAAAGGAACACCACAGGCCCTCTCTTTCACTATTGATGCTAAAATCTTTAACAAAAGGTCAGCAAATAGAATTCAGCAGTATATAAATAGCAGCATACACCATAACCATTTCTAGAGATGCAAGTCTTTTTACATATTTGTACATTGATGCCTACACCATATTAACACCATATGAACAAATCCCATGGTTGTGTCAATTGATACAGAGAAAGCATTTGACAAAATCCAATACTCATTCTTGACAAACATGATCAGAAAACTAGGGAGGGAAGGGAAATTCCCCAACTCGATGAAGATCGATACACAGTACCGATAGCTAGCGTCACAGTTGCTGGTGAAAGATGGAGTGCTTTCCCCCTGACTTTCAGCAGTGCTAGAGACTGCAGCCACTGCAATAGGGCAAGAAAAGGAAATTAAAGGCAAATATTAGAAAGAAAGAACTAAAACTGGCCCTATTTGCAGATGACAGGATGGTCTACATAGAAAATTCCAAGGGGAGGAAAAGCCCTAGAACAAATGAATTCCACAAGGTCACCGGAAACAAGATAAACATAAAAAGGGTATTTACTGGGGCACCTGGGTGGCCGGTTAGGCGTCTGACTCTTGGTTTTGGCTCAGGTCGTGACCTCAGGGTCGTGGGATCGAGCCCTGCGTCAGGCTCCATGCTCAGTGGGGAGTCAGCTTGAGGTTCTCTCTCTCCCTCTGCCCCTCCCCCTGCTCCCACACATGTGCTCTCTCTCTAAAAATAAATAAGTAAATAAATAAAGGTATTTCTTAAACTAATAATCAGCATGTGAAGACCAAAGTTAAAATTCAGTGCCATTTATAATCATGTGGAAAAATGAAGTCCTAGGTACAACTCTAACAAAACACGTACACAACTCGTGTGCTGAAAACTATATGATACTGATGGAAGAAATCAAAGATCTCAACACAAGGAGGGATACGCGTGCTCATGGATTAGAAGACGTTTTTCTTAAAATCACTCAACCCAATGTTAAGACTTACTGTATAGCTCCTTTGATCGGGACAGTAGGGTCTTGGCAGAGGAACGGAACACCCTAGAGAGCCCAGAAACAGCCTCACACAAGTATGGTCAATGATTTTTTGACTAAAGTGCAAAAGCAATTCAATGGAAGAGGGATAGTCTTTTCCACAAATGGCACTGGACCAAATGGACATCCACTTGCAAAAACAGTAAATTTTTTTTAAGATTTTATTTATTCATTTGAGAGGGAGAGAGAGACAGAGAGAGTATAAGCAAGGGGAGAGGCAGAGAGAGAAGCAGACTCCCCACTGAGCAAGGAGCCCAACGTGGGGCTTGATCCCAGGACCCTGGGATCATGACCTAAGCCAAAGGCAGATGTTCAACCATCTGAGCCACACAGGAGCCCCCCAAAAAGTAAATCTTGATCTAAACTTCACATCTTATAAAAGATTAACTCAAAACACACCATAGGTTTAACTATAAAACATGTAAGTATAAACTCTTAGAAGAAAGGTGAAAATCTTTGGGGTTTGGGCTACATAAAGAGCTCTTGCAACACCAAAACCAAACACAGTTCATAAAGGAAAAAATATCAGTAAATTGGACATCTTCAAAATTTAAAACATCTGTCCTGTGAAAGACAAGCCACACGCAGGGAGAAAACACGTACAAACCACACATCTGACAGAAGAATCAGATCCAGAATTTAAAGAACTCCCAAAGGTCAACAGTACCAAGAAATCACTCGGATTAGGAAGTAAGACAGACATTTTTCCAAAAAAAAAGAAGAGAAAAATACGTGGACAGAAAATAAGGACTTGAAACGATGATCGGCATGATTAGCCACCAGGAAAATGCCAAATAAAATCATGAGGTGTCACTACACACTTATTAGAACAGCCAAAATGTTCTAAAAACAGTGACGGCACCATGGGCTGACGAGGACACAGAGAAGCCCGATCTCTCACACGTGGCTGCTGGGAACGTGAAACGGGACAGTCACCCCACAAACGGCTTGGCAGTTTCTTAAAAAACAAAAAACCAAGACCCATCCATGGCACAGTCGGGCATCTCTCCCAGCAAATAAGCAGTTATGCCCCCACAAAACTCTGAATGTGAACGCTGACTGCAATTTTATTTGCAACAGTCAGAGTTGGAAACAACCAAAAGGTCCTTCAACAGGCCACGCAAACGGTGGTCCCTCCACACCGTGGAACGCCCGTGGCCACTGCAAGGCTCAAGCTACTGATGCAGGAACAGCCTGGAGGGACCCGCAGGCTTTGCTCAGAGACTGAAGAGAGAGCCAAGGTCAAAGGGCGTATACAACAGCCTCAAATGTGAGTCACAGGACGCAGAGTAGTCAGCGCAGCGGGGCTTTGGGGAAGGCGGCCGTGTGACCCCAGTAGAAGGGGGACTGTGGCCATAAAGGAAATGCTCCGGATCCGAGTGTGGCCGCCAGGAGGAAGCGGGCCAGAGCCACACACACACCAGCCACCAAAGCCCATTCCCTTGTTTGGGTCCACGCAGATGCCGGGTGAGCTGTGACCATGGGGGAGGCCACTGGGGGCCCCCAGGCCTCTCTGGGCATGCTGCTTGGTTCCGCAGGGGACACGTGTGCGGTCGGGGTGGCGTGTCACCCCTACCTCCAGAAAGCTGCAGAAAGCCGCCACGCACAGTCCCTGCTTGGAAACAAGCCGCTGATGTTCTGCGGGGCAGCCTGCAGACTGCTTCCATGCAACCACCAGCCGGTGACTGTGCTCCTTCCATTTCCACAGCCCCGGCCTCCCCCCGCCCGAGAATAAGCACAGGAAGACCCACCTGTACGCAGGGTCCGCAGGGCCGGCAAACCCCTGAGGCACTCCCACGAATGCGCCCTCCCCCGGGACCTAAAGCATTTGTACACGATAAAAACACTCGCACCCTGCCACCTCCGGTGACACCAGGTCAGCTCCCTGAGCATCCGGCGTGCAGGGAAAGGCCGGCAGGCACCACGGCCCCTGGGTCTCCGCCACAGTGCTCAGTTATTCCAGGAGGAGCACCTGTCTGCCCGCCAGCCCCGGGTCTGCAGAGGCCAAGAGGGGGCAGGGCTGACTTCTTGGGGGGCGGCGCCACCCTGGGCATGCGGGGGACCCCGGGCAGTGACTCCTTCAGTGGGACAGGATGGTAATGTGGCCACCTCCTGGGGCCAGGGTCCCAAGTCTCCCTCTTTTTCACACTTCTCTTGACTTTCCACAACAAACATGTATTTCCTTGGAAACCAAATCAAAATCAAGTTTAGGAGAAAACTTGTTGCTCACTCTGCTGTGGAACCTGGCTGCCCGAGCCTCTTTCTGGACCTGCCGAAGGGAAGGCCGGTGGCTTCAGTGCAGAGACCTGAAAACCAGGGGCTGTGCAACCGAGTGGAGCTGCTTAACTTCTCTGTCTCCACCTTCCTGGTCTGTCACACGAGAACAAAGGTAGCCCCCAAGGGGAGTTCTCAGAAGACCCAGAACGCTCATGCTTGTGAAGAGCTGGAAGCACGCTGGTCCAGACCGAGTCCTCAAGCTGCCTCTCGCTGTCCTCAGTGGAGACAGCAAGCGGGTCCCGCCATGCTGCGGGAGGGGGCGGTTGGAGCCCCAGTCCACATGGAGGCCCAGGCGAGGCAGACACGCCAGGAACTACGGGCTGCTCACACAAGCTGGGAAGATGAGCAGGGCTGCAGGGTGGGCTCCTGGGAGGCCAGCGGCTACCGATCCATCTGCTCACTGACCCAGGGCAGGAGAGGTGAGCCGCTCTGGTTGCTGGCAGGGCTCGTTGCGCACATAGAGGAACTGGCCTGGGCAGGCAGGCCTCACCTAGGAAAGCCGGCTTGGGTGCTGAAATGTACTCGCCTGCACCCCCCCATCTGCCAGCTGGAATGTGGATGCAATGACTGGAGCCCCAGCATCTATCTTGGGCCTTGAAGTGATAGCAGGCAAGCCAGAACAGCATCATAGAAGAGGTCTGGTTCAAGATGCTTGTGAAGCCGCCACATTAGCTCCGTCCTGCCCCATCTCCAGGTTTACTTTAACAATAAGAAACCTTTTGTTCAAGTCACCACGGTTGGGGTTTTCTTCAATGTCACCAAGCCTGCTGCTGACTAGCAGGACCCCTGAGCACACACATGTGTAAACTGACATCCTCGGGGCCTGGGGCCCATCTGCCCCTCCACTCCCAGTTGACTCCTCCCTGCCATGGGATGCGGTTGCCGGGAGAGACAGGTGGTGAGCTGGGGAACAGGAAGGATGGCAGTGCCCAGTGATGGCCTCATCTGGGTGGGGCTGGGCAGAAGTGGGCTCCCTGGGGCTCAGCTTGGACACCCCGCTCCCTGAGGCAGGTGAGCAGCAGAGACGAGCAAAAGCGTCTCCCACCCACGACACACAAGCTCGGGACAACACATGGTGAGACGCAGCCCTGCCCGGCGCTGGCCCCTCCAGGCTGTGGTCAGCAAGCGGCTGCTCCCACCCAGCCTGTACCCCAGTTTCCCTCCCTACATGCTCTCTCCAGCCCACTCAGGACCCTGCAGTTGAGCCCCATGCTGCAGGGACACCCCAAAAGGCATACAGATTTCCATTTCTGCCTGGGTCTTCTCTCCACATTTATCAGGAATCTGCTCTGCTCTTCAAAACTGTGAAGTGTTTGTAGTAGAGGTGCCAACGTCTCTCTCACTGGTAACATCGGAGGGTCTCCACGATGTCCCCCTGCTCACCCAGGACTCGGGAAGTTTGGGTACATTGGCTGAATCGCCGTGCTGACGCCTCTGGGTTTAATGTGCTCCACGGACACAGGCCATCGGGAGCGAGGAGGAGCAGAACCTCTTACTGGAAAGGGCTGGACACACAGGAAGGGAGGGCACTGGGGGCACAGAGCTCAGGGGCCGGGCCGTCAATGACGGTCCCAGGTGAGAGACTCCATGCCCATGCTCGAAACAGTCCTTGCTGGGGCCTGAGAAGGAAGACGCCACACTCAGCCTTGCTTTCCTGGCCCCGTGCACGCTGTCACCAGATGGCAGACCTGGCCTGAGACCCGACCATGGTCAGGGAGCGCCTGCCTGAGCCGGGGTGTGCAGCGGTGAGTGGCTGATGGAGACTGGGTCCTGGGCTGACCCGTCTGGGGCTGACGGACACAGACCCCCCGGGGCAGCCGGCAGCCTCAGGGCTCGCAATATCCCCTCTGGCAACAACTGAGAGCCACAAGAGAGGGGCCCACGTGTGGCTGTGGCGGCAGAGAGAGGAGCTGGCGTTGTCCCAGGCAGAGAGCAGAAGACGAGCCCAGGCTGAGTGTACAGCTCGGGCACCCTGAGGCGGCGGCTCAGACAGCGAGGAGCAGCTACTCAGTGCCCCAGAGACGCCGGAGGGTCCCGTGCACCTGTCACTGTGCGAGTCGGGAAGAAAGCCTCCCCCGCAACACACACACAAGTGCATGCATGTTCACACACACTAATAGATACTAAGTGCAGTTTCTGAAATTCAGCATCTACTCCTCATTGTCAAAAAGCACAAACACTCGCTCACAGGGGCGCCCGCGTCTAACCCAAAGTGTCACAAAGAACAGCCAGAAGGAAATTAATACAAGGTGGAGGAAGGGTCAGAGTCACGCCTACGACGGTGAGCTGAGCTGAGGAAGAAGTTACCAGGATGAGTTTCAACGTGAGCTGAAACATTATCTTTGTTAAATTCAGACAGAAATGGTAGAAACGACATTTTGGAAAAGTTGCTGGCCAGGAGGTGGGAGCCGGACAGCAGAGGTGTGCGTGGACCCGGAGCACTGGGCACAGCGCGGGGAGCTGCGTGGACACCGACCGCATGCCCGCTTTTGCCGACCCGGGACCCGCAGACATGATCACAGACGTCGACGCACTTCCGTGAGAGAAATGCTGTGAGTTACTCACTGTGACTGGAAAACGAAAAATCGGAAATGACCTAAACGTCAACGGACCTGGAATCAACACACGGTCTCTCCTCAGGCTGGAGACGCACACGGTGACATAAAGATCATATTTTGGAGGAATGTTTATTAATATGAGAAACGTTTGTGATGCCACACTGGCAGGTGACAAAAACAAGCAACCAAGCTACTTGCAGATCATCCCACGACTTCCGTTAAATCCACACATGTGATGTGTGGTGCGCAGTGGGATGGACCAGCCCAGCGCCGTCCACGGGGCCCACCCTGGCCACACATGAGGGCGCCCACATGGGAGTGAGGCCCAGACGTGGAGGAGGGAAGACAGGGCCCTCATTCCGAAGGGGACGCAGGCTCTGGGGGGCCCTAGGGATGGCACCCACAGGTGGAAGGGCCTGCCCCGTGGGTCACTCGACGGCCACCTCCCGAGCTGCCTTCACTGGCGGGCTGGCCCTGCCTCTGCGCCTCTCTACCCCATCCTTCGGGACCACCAGCCTTGTCACTGCCCCGTCTCAACCACTGGGGGCCTCCCACAGTGCGGACACCGCTATCCTGCACACTGGGGCTTATTTCCACTACTCACAAGGCAGATGGTGATGAGGGGAAGCAGTGGTTCCCCAGCCTGCTACCTGCCTGCTCCTCTGTCTCCCCGGCAGGGGAACCGCCCGGGCCACGGAGGCTGGATGTGCCAGCTGGTGGGGAGGGACCAGACGTGGGGCCAAAGCTCAGGGTCCAGGAGTCCCACACACGGGCAGGCAGCTCACCAGTGGTGCAGGGAGACCCTCTCGGGTCAGGGAGCTGGGCGCAGATGAGGAGCCCTGAAACCACACGATGGTTGGGGGGCTCGGCCTTGGACCCTGGGGTGCCGGGCACAGTGACAGGGACGATTGCAAGGGCGCACGCCCGCACGTCACACTTCGGCACCTGGTATAACGTGAGGCAGCAAGTGTCCCCCAAGGAGGGAGGCTGGAGGGCCAGGACCCACTGTCGCCAGCACACCGATGAAGGACCAGAGTCTCAGGGTGGGCAGAGCCTGACCTGTGACTCCAGAGATTTGGGGTGTCAGGGGCTGGGCCAGGATTCAGGATGTGGGAGACTGGAAGAAACCCAGCATGGCTCTGCGCTCCCAGGGGGGGCAGGAAGAAGAGAACGGGAGTGAGGAATCCAGCAGCAACTCCAGACAACAGGGAGGGAAGGGCCCACTCTCCCCCCAACACACACACACAAGTGCATGCATGTTCACACACACTCATACACACATGTGCACACGTGCATGCATCGCACACACTCATACACACTCGTGCACGCACACTTGTGTGCACACTCATACACACGTGCACACATGGACACTCATACACACACTCATGCAGTCACACACAAGTGCATGCATGCACGAACACATACACGCACACATGCATGCATGCACTCATGCGTGCACTCACACTCGTGTGCATACTCACACACGTGCACAAATGCGTGCATCGCACACTCACACGCACACTCGTGTGCACACTCATACACACATGTGCACACGTGCACACTCATACACACATGCACGTACTTTCAAATGCACAGGAAGCTGGTAACAAAGGGAAGTCACCAGAGGACATCCGGACGCGGGAACCCAGGCCAGGCAGGTGGTGGATGCACTGCTGCCGTCTGAGACCCGGAAAGCTTGGAGAGCCTGTCATCCCTCACGAGCCAACCGCAGCAACGCGGGGCCTGAGCACGGTGGGCAGTGAGGTCAAAGCTCTAGCGGGGGCCCACGCCCCCAGCGGCCCCATCAGCAAACACCGACGTGGGGAGCCCTTGCACGGGGGACACTCTTCAACCTGGCTCTGCACTGAGGGGACCCCCGGGAATACATTTGCACACGTCTGCCCAGCTGGGACATCTAAAATTCACTGGGCAAGCATGTGAAGCCCTCGGGTACCTGGACAAGGGCAAGGCCGATCTTGATAGAACCCACATCAGCATCGCTCTTGAAGAATTTCCAGCAAAATTCTCACAAATGTGAGCTCACGGTCAAAACCACAAAAATCCTGTGAGGCAAAAAAACCCCAGCAGTACCAGCAGATTCTTGCTTCTTCCTGAAAAGCCCCCCAAAACTGCAGGGATGGAATTCCTTGCCAGGGTAAAAAACCCAGAATGGCAGGGAAAACAGGAGTGAGCAGATAGAAGTCTCGGGAACCGGACATGACTCACAGGATGGAGCCACGCTGGGCTGGGGGGCCCAGAACACAAGGACACAGGAGGGGAAGGGGCGGCACTCCAGGCTTGTCCCAGGCTCATGAGACGCGACCCCTGCCCCAGACGACTGGGGTCTCTGCCCCCTGAGACGCGAGGCCCGTGTGGTTGAAGGGGACGCTGGGACCCCCACAGAGCAGTACAGCTTCCAAACCCAGCAGAAGACCAGAACATCCAAAGACGACTCTGACCCACCCAAGAGGAAAGGTGGAAAATCCTGGCAGTCAGGCCACAAGGCAGGCACTTCCAGGGGAGGCCACCTTCCATGGACTGGACGACTTTGAACAGGAAGAGGGGTGAACAGGTGCACAGCAGGAGAACCAGGGCGTGGGGGCGGCCAGAGACAAGACTGCCTGATGGCACCTGGGCTTGCAGGCCATGGCTGAGGTTCCAGACCTCACGACAGAGCATCTGATGAGCATGAATATCCTCAGGGAAGGTTCAGACAGCCGCTGGGGTTCTGGGCAAGCATTTACCCGCAAACACGTGGAAGGCCAAATTGAAAAAAAAAAATGCAAGATGATAGCAAGATTTTTCCAGGAAAGCAAAAGCAGCCTGGCTCTGAGTAGCATTTACACGGTTAGAAAGCACGCCCGGCCAGGCTTCCCGGGGCGGGGAGGCGGCCCTCCTACCTTGTCATCATCCTCACAGGTCATGACGTTGGAGAAGGGGATCTCCGCCTTGAACATCTTCCGACAGTGCATGAGCTGCACCAGCAGGTAGCACACGGTCTTGAACTTCATCCTCTTGGCAGGCTTTATGTCAGAGAGGATCAGCCCTGGAAATATCTGTGCCGACAGCCGGCCCGGAGAGACCCGTCAGCAGACCCATGCTGCCCCCCGCGCCCCCGAGCTGGGAGCGGGCACCTGACAGGGACAGGGAGGTCATGGGGACCGTGTGCTCAAGGCCAAACAGAAGTGCATGGAACCAGCAAGCCGGGTCCACAGCACACAGTTACCCCAGGGCCGCTGAAAACCAGAGCAAGGCCCCAGTCCTGGGGAGGAGCTGTGGGAAGATTTGGGGCCAGGCCAGGTAGGAACCCTGGAGCCTGAACGTTACTGGCTGGGCCAGCAGCTGGCTGAGGACCACCACCCACCAACCCCTGGGGTCCCTGCCCTTCTTACCGCACCCTCCACTCCCACATGGGTGGCCCCTGCTGCCCTGGGGTCCAGTGCCAACCCCTCACCCAGCCCTCCTCCAAGCCCACCGACCCCTGCCCTACCCTCTCTCCCGTTCATCAGGAGTGAGCTCACTGAGCCCAGCCTACCCTGCCCTGGAGCCCCCAGCAGCCACGGTCCCCGGGTCACAAGGGACTGCACAGCCCCAATCCACGGACACACAGGACAGAGAAGCTTGAAGCTCTCCCTCATATTCCACCTGCTTATGTCCTGAAGGAGTACTGGGGCCACCTGTGCCCTGCACCCCTCACCTGTGCCCTGAGCCCCTCACCTGTGCCCTGCACCCCTCACCTGTGCCCTGAGCCCCTAACCCATGTCCTGAGCCCCTCACCTGTACCCTCACCTTCACCTGGGCCCAACACCCCTCACCTGTTTCCTGAACACTTCACCTGTGTCCTATACCCCTCACTTAAGCTCTGAGCCCCTCCACCTATGCCCTGCAACCCTTACCCATGCCCCGTATCCATCTGTGCCCCGAGCCCCTCACCTGCGCCCTGTACCCCTCATCTGTGTCCTGCACCCCTCACCCGTACCCTGCATCCCTCATCTATGCCCTGCACCCCTCACCTGTGCCCTGAGCCCTTCCCCATGCCCTCCACCCCTCACCTGAACCCTGAAAAGACTAGGCCCCCCCTTGATCACGTCCAGCTCAGTTTCCTTAGGCACAGTGACCTTGAGTGCCCCGAACGATGGTCACAGGCCCCCTGTGTGCACAGCACCCCTTTGCTCAGTGCTCCCCCATCCCCGGCCTGTTTTGCGGGGGAAGGCCCAGGGAGTGGGGGGGGAGAGAGGACAGTCCAGGCCCTGAGAGGACCCCGGGCTCCGACTGGCCCGGCCCCAGCCCAGGTGAGCGGGAGCTCCGTCCCAGTCCCGGAGCCCACCTTGCGCCGATGTGATGGCACGATGAAGAAGGTCTCAATGTTGTGAGTTTTCAGAAAACTGTTCCTCTCGTGCCCGTGCCCCGGCTCCACCTCGTAGTCACCGTTCAAGCACGCCAGGGTCGTCTTCGTGATGTGGACCTTCCTGCAAGACAGCAGCACCACGGTGCCCAGGGCCTGCAGAGGTGGCACAGGCGTCCCTCCCCACGGGCAGGTCCAGGAGGGGCACTCAGGTTCCCTGTGTCACCTGGCAGCACCGGTCACACCCGGGAACAAGAAGGGGAGGGAGCCCAGCGAGGGGGTGCCGCTGGGGAGGGCTCGGAGCCGGGGATGGGCCAAGCGTCAGCAGGAGCAGAGGGGAGCATTCCAGGCTCTGGGACAGCAGAGGGGTCTCAGGTGCAAGCACAAGGTGGGAGTGGATGCCACCGCAGGTCCCAGCCGAGGCATGGCCTGGCCGGCCCGGACACGGTCAACCCAAGCCCCTTCCCCGGACACAGACGGGGTGGGGATGCCCAGTGTCCATTGCATCTCAGTCCTGCAAGGGAAGGGGATGCAGGTCTGGAGAGGGGGGACATGCAGGTGGCTCCCGCCATGGCTCCCACCGTGGCTCCCCAGGACCCCCAGGGTAGGTGGAGTTTGCTCAGGACCCAGTGTCGTCTGCTTTGCAGCCGCCTGGCCCATGCACCCAGCACATGAGTCTGGGGAAGTGGCGCGGGCCCCTCCCACACTGTCCTCTGGACGCCAGAGCGCACTGCCTCGCCCTGACTCACCCGGGCAGGCCGGCGGCCTCCATGACGTTGGCGAGGGTCACGTCGTTGGACCACACGTCATACTGCCACTTGCGCAGGCCGAGGACCCCACAGAGGACCCGGCCGGTGTGCAGCCCCACACGCATGTTCAGATCCACCTCTGTGGCCTCCGCCACTGACCTGCAACAGACACATCACGGCGTGGGCCTGGGCCCTTGTCCATACCCGCGAGCTTGCACACACAGGGGAGTCTGCATAGGCGGGAGCACGGGGGTCTCCTGACTTAGCCCAATCCCCAAGCGTGGCTCCAGGTGGGCAGGGCTGCTCTGGGCCAGGCCCCCTAGCTCCCTGGCCACTGGGCACGACCCTTGCCCCTCCCCACCTAGGGCAGCCCGCAGGGGGCATGAGCCTGGGACCTCCGATCCCCTCTGTGTCCCGCTGACCCGGTTGGGGGCTCGTGCCTGCTTGCTGGCCAGAGGCCGGCGTGACGACCTGCCAGGGGCACCCTGGGAACGGCCAGGGTTTGACCCCGAGCTCCAGACCTGACCCTCGAGTAGACTTTACAGGAGGACAAGCGTGTGGGTGCCAAAATCAGGTGGCGGGTCCAGGTGAGCAGGTCACCCGCGGCTGGGGAATGTGGGCCAGCGTGAGTCCCGGCAGCACCCAGGGGACACCGCCCGTGTCCGGAGCTCCGTGCGAGCGATCATGTGGGGGCACCCACAGGGTGCCACGCATGGTCTCCCCAGGTCTAGGACTCACCACCACAGCCAGAGGTACACAGCACACTGCGTCAGGCCAAAGGGGACACACAGCGGCCGTGCTGAGGCCTTCCGATGCTGTCTCCTGTGTTTTCTACTCTTCCCCAATGGGCGGAAATTATATTATTACAGAAAATGCTAAAGCAGAGCATTGCGGAAGCAACAGCAGGTTATCCGTAGGCCCCACGGGACAGGAGTGCAACGAGGCCCCGTGGGAGGGAGCACTGAGCCATGTGACCCCTGCCTGTCCACAGGTGGCCCCCACGGCAGGTGTGTCCAATGTGGCTCCCCTGTCCACGGCAAAGCCCAACCACAAAGGGCCAGGAGGCTGAGCCGTGGCCCAGGACACAGTGGCCCCGTGGTTAGAAGGTCTGTCACGAGGGAGAAGGGAGACCAGGAAACATCGGACACACAGGGTCACCAGGTTGCCACCATGGGGCCGGCCCACCAGACAACCCACCCTCCATCCCCTCCCAGCATTAGGTGCCCTGTGGCCCAGCCACCTGCAGACCCCCCACCCCACACAGGATAGCAGGCCACCCATGATCCCAATGATAAATCTCCCTCCTACTTCAGAACTTGGGGTTGATTCGTGTGCACCCATCTTGTTCCTAATATGACGTGGCCCAGCTGAGATGCAGCCTCCAGGAAGCCCTCCCAGATCCTCACCCCCATCCCTGAGGACCTATCACTGGTGCCAGTACAACAGGGTCTGTCAGAGACCGCTTCCGGCCATGCCCCGACCACCGGGCAGTCTGGCCCAAATGACCAGAGACTTGGGGGCGCCCGGGTTCCTTAAAACATCTGAATTAGAAACCCTAAAAGAAGACAAGGGGCTCTGATGATGAAATAAAGAGCTTGGGGTCTTCTGTCCAGAATGTAAGCACAGGACACAGACACAGGGGCTGGTGAGCAGAGCGTCCAGAGTCTTTGGCTCTCGGAACCGCAGATGGGCAAAGGCGGCCACTCCACGTGGGGAGCGCACATGAGCAGGGCGGCCCCTGATTTCTAGGGAAGTCCCATCGGCCCAGCAAGGTGACCAGGCCAACCTCTGCCCTCTCCGGGTCTCCGTTTCCCATGTGCAATCCAAGGCGGGGCTGAATGAGCGCCAACGGGCTCTGACAACCGCCCAGCTACCCTGGCGTCTCCAGGCTCAAGGCCGCGGCCCACATCCCACTAACCCCTGTTCTGGAAGACACAGGTGCAGAAACACTGGGAGAGGGTCCACGAAGACCCCGGACTGCAGGACGGCCCGAGCAGTCCTTGTGGCCGTGGACCCCACGCCACACAGCTGCTGGGGTCCCGTCACCTGGGTGGAGCACTCCCACCCGGGAGGACAGCATCCCGCTCGGCCCTGCCTGCCCAGCCCCAGCTTCCATGTGCAGACTACCCAGCGGTCCCACAGGATCCCACCGCCACACCGCTTCGCCCCCGTGCAAAGCCGTCCTGGACCCACTGGGAGCCCCGCACCACCCCTGCGTCCACCGAGGGCCCGGCCCCCAGGACCAGAGTGTTTCACATCGGGTCCAAGGTCCCCGGTGCACGTCCGGAAGTCCACGTGTCACAGGTTTACAGCAAAGGCTACTCGGGAGTCTGCATGTCTTTGACACCTACTTAGTTTTACATATATTGAACATCTTTTCTCTCAATTTTAACTTTTCTCAGTCATTTGCCAACCTCTAGTGAGAAGTGCTGAAACAAACAAAATACGGTTAAAATTTTGGATTTTTTTTTTTTTGATATTTGCAAAAGGAAAGGAACACAGAGAAACGTGAACAAGAAAAGCTGCAGACGGTGTTTCTGCCCATTTCACAGCATCTCCACCTCCACGGCCAGGAAGGGGCAAAGGTCACGGGGATCAAATCCTACAGCCTGCACACCCTCACCTCTTCTGGAAGGTTCTGCCTCAAACATCTGGATCCTGGTGGCAGTAGATACATAGTTACCTGGACACTCACATCTCAGTTAGCCGCGCATCAGGGGCAGTCTCACTGAGACACATTTGCCGAGAACAGAGACGGGAGGAGGGCCTGCAGAGCCGTGAGAGACGGCCCCCCTCCCTGGGCCATCGCTGCTCCGGCTGACTGCAGCAGGGTTAGCGGACAACCACGGCGGCCTCGCCAGCCCAAGGCTGGGTCCCGGAGGGCAGAGCACATGCTGTTTACTTCCCCTGATCCAATACCGCAAACCAAAACACCCAGACCTCGCCCCGCACGCTTGCCGGTGCGATGCGCGATTCGCTAAGGCCTGTGACAGACGAGGATCTCGCGCTACTGGAAATGCACAGAGTCCTAACGCTTTGGAGCAGAGGAATCTCCTGCACCCTGTGCTGAGTGGCCCCCTCCCTGCAGAGTGGGGGAATGGTTGCTCCAGCAGCTGGGGACCCGCTGGGAGAGCCCCCAGCCCCACGAGCTGCACCTGCCATGGGGGTGGGAGCCCCGGGCCTTCACTTCCACATCGGCACCCTTGTGTTGTCTTTAACGCGGAGCCTGTAAACCTTCCCACCTGTTATTCCCACAGGGACACACTACCCACCAAGTGCAACACAAGATCCTTCCCCACCCGCCAGACCGGGAACAGGTCCTCGATCCCTCCAGCCTCAGGAGAGGTCAGAACCCAGGCGGCCGGGGCCTGCACGCGCCTGCCCATGAGGAGATTCCTTCCCTCCGTCCAGTGTCTAGCGGCAGCAAACGCCCGGCCCCTCACAAGCCCGTCCTGAGCCCACACGTCGGGGACTGTCATATCTGCACAGTGAACAACCTACTGGACGTGCGGCCGGCGCGGCACCACCCCCCTGATCCTGAGCACCCCAGAACCACACACGGGGTCCGCAGGCACCCAACCGTCCCCCTGCTCTGGATGCCCCTGTCCACTCAGAGGACCGCTCACTGGAGCAGACCGCTGGAGTCACTGGGCCTCTTCCGCCCCTGACCCTAGGGCTGGGTCTCTCTCTTTCTCTCTCTCTCTGTTCTCCCGTGTTCCTCATACAACTTTGTTGCCACTACTTTTCGGCTCCAAGTGTGGACGTCTACACCCATCCCTGCTAACCCCGTCTCGCCGGACTGCACCCATCCCTCCACGCTGCTGAGATGTGGGCACCAGCTCAACCTCCCAGCCCCACACCTTCCCTGCCCCGACGGAGGGTCCCTAATTCTTCATTCCACTCTCTGACGGGACAGGACGAGGCTGGCTCAGAGGCGCGGCCGGCCCACGGTGTTCTCAGGAGGCACGCCTGCTCCCTCTAAGCTCCTCCAGCAGAGAGCCCTGGACACCTATGCCCGTGAAGACAAACACGTGCAGTTCCTTTCAGGGGAATTCGGCTGGATCTAAGCCACTCCATCCCCAGCTGACTCCCTGGATGTCTTGTCTGGCTAAGCTATGAAGCTGATTTCTTCCTGCACCATTAATGCATCCCTGACCACACCCAAGATGGCCACGGATGAAGAAACGCCGTCCCAGCAAATTGCAAAGGTGACGGTCTCAGAGGCACCCAGCTCAGGCGGGAGCTCCCCGACCCGAGCCTCGCCATGTAACCTGGCTCTCTGCAGCCTGGGGACACATGGCCCCTCGGGCCTACAGGACCCATGGGGGGTGCGAGGCGGGCCTGTCCCTGCGGGCACTCACGTAATGGTGTCAATCATGTCCAGGCCCATCTCCACGCAGCAGTGGGCGTGGTCAGTCTTGGGCTGGGTGAGGCCAGACACGCAGTAATAGCAGTCCCCGAGGATCTTGATCCGGCGACAATGATTCTCCTAGGGGGCGAGAGGACAAATCTCACATTAGTGATGTACCTGGGGCCTGGGCACCTACACCTTCGCCACCACGGAGCCGGTGACCACGGAGCAGGCAGCACCACGGGCACCAGGCCCCACAACCCCACCCAAGGGACCCCCTCCGAGGCCAGGGCAGCCTCAAGAGGGGGAACAGCCTCCACGGCAGTGATTAGGCTCACTGGGGGCACCCACACGCCCCCCAAGCCTGCACTCAGGCCTGTTCCCACGCAGGGGTCCACCCCGCCCATCCCTCAGCCCACCTGGCCAAACCCACAGACCATCCAAGTTTGGGAAGCTGCCCCAAGTCCAGAGCCAGCGCCTTTCCCGGGACGTTCTCTCTCCTGGGGGGCCCAGCACAGCGCCCCTCCTGACCACCGCCTTGGACAGCCATATGATGGACCCTGTGGCTCACATCAGACCCCCACGCACACCAGCTCCAGACGGGCAGGTGCACGCACCTGAGTGTCCCTGAGGTTGAGGTCCATGGGACACTTGGGCGGCTATCACCAAAGAGTTACATGCCAGGGCCCGAGCCCCAAGGGGACCGCCAGGGTCTGCGACCCTGACCTGGCCGCCCACAGGGACACCCAGAACGTCCACTCTGGCACTTATACGACAGTAAGAGAGCATCCGCACCCACCTCGCCGTCCTGCTGGGAAGGACTTCCTAGCGCCCGTCATGCACTAGCTCATTGGTCTCGGCTGTGATTATGGCCGTGACTGAAGTTTTACTTCTCAGACGCTTCCGTAAAGCTCCCCTTTACGCCCCTAAAATAGCGGACGGCCTCACAAAACTCCTTCCCGTGAGCAGGTCCTGCCCCTGGACATTCAAGACGTTCTTCAAATCGCATTAACGCACTCAAAGGTGATAGCAAATCCTCTACATGTTAACGCAAGCAGCAAATTTCATGAAAATTTATGATGTTTCCCAGAACAAACACACGCAGCGAGAAGCGTGGCTTGTTTCCACGTCGCGTGGGTCCCGTGGGCCCGTGGGATTCTGCGAGGGGCTGGTCTTGCCAGCACATCCCAGGTGAGGAGCACCCCACAGGCCCCGAGATGTCCTGCACGCCCAGAGCCCCGCGGACCCCACTCTGAGAGCACATCCCACAGCTCCTGTTCCATCCTGCTCTCCATCTGTCACAGAAGACCTCCCTCCTGCAGGTTTCCTCCAATGAGACACGTTAACCTGAGAATTCACAGTAAGAACTCTCAGCTTCCGCTTCCCACACACCCACACTTGCCCGGGCCGCGGCCCCGCATCAGAGGACCGGGTGCCCACCCAGCCCCGGGCCCCCCTCAGCAGACAGAGCCCTCGGACCCCCCTGCAGAATGTGAGCTGACCACAGGGAGGTGCAGGTCTGGCCACTCAGCCTCCGAGTGACCGCAGGGTGGGCAGCCACTTAACCATTAGAATGCCAGCCTCCTTGTCTATGGAAGGGGTTCTCCTGGTGTCCCAGGGGAAGGCCATGCTAGGGGCGACATGTCCTGTGATGACATCAGGGAGCCCAGAGCCAGATGGCCGGGTGCAGACGTCCTCCCTGCAGAGCTGGGCCCCTGGGAGTTGGCTGGCCAGGCTTCTCCGGCCACGCTCACCAAGCCTCCAAGCCAGCAGGCAGCACTGGGTTCTCTCCTGACACTCTGGGAGTGCCAGGCCACTGTCCCCATCGTCACTGTCCCCAAGTCAGAGCAGGCCAGGGACAGAGAGCCCCTCTCCCAACCTCCCCTGTCCCCAGACCCAGGGATGACACCAGGGCCACTGCCAAGCCTCACCCCTCTCCTGGCTGCCAGGACGTCCTCCCAGCAATCATTCTGGGGTTCCAGACCCACCCCCCAAGGAGCCCACGGAGGTGACAGCGCTATTCTTGCAGACGATTTCAGGAAGGGCACCCATACCCGGAGCTGGGTACCTCAAGGGAGATGTGTCCCCATCAGCACCACCACAGGGCATCCCTGTGCCCCCGGCTTGTCCCCGAGGTGCTCCAGGCGGCCTCCTGCCCTTCTTTGTATGTCCTGTCTCTGGACAGGCGGGTGCGTGTGAGCTGCAGGAGTGTGACCATCGCTGCCCCGTGCGGCCAATCTCCAAGTGAGGGCGGAGGGGCAAAGCCACTTAGCAGGTAGCGTCCAGGGGCCACAGCCTCCTAATTACAGCCTGTCAGCAGCAGATGTGTCCTTGGTGACCGTCCCCCAGCACGAAGCCGCGGCCCCTCCTCACCGGCCCTGCAGGGCCAGGCCAGGGACACAGCCCACGGCAGACTGGGGCAGTAAGGGGCTAACGCTTCTTCTTGTCCTTCTAATCTCAAATGTCCTGGCTGTCGTTAGCCGGCTTGAGAGACCAAAAGAGGTGTTTTCACTGAGTTTGGCACATTTCAGTTTAAAAACTTCCCGGTGGTTCCAGAACACCGGCGCTGGAGCTGAGCCCAAGCCTCTATGACGACTAGACAGCTCTTCCTGAGACCCCCGCCCACAGCGTCCAAACTGTCCCTCCCCCCTGGCTGGGGGACAGAGTGGCCAGTGGCCCAGAGGGGCGGCAGGAGGATCCAGGGGGGGAGGCCTCATGCTGAGCCTGCCAGGTGTGGTCTGCAAGCTCGCGGACAAGCTCTGACCCACCAGTCCTGCTGTGGGGCAGCCGTGGGGGCCTTAGAGGGCAGGGACCCACGATGTAAGCGATGGTGATTGCTGGGAGGGAGCACACACCACCATTTGCTTCGACTTCCATTCCACTTAACGCATCCGCACGCGGCTCTGTTCGTCTGGCCCTTCTGTGCCAGTCCCTGGGTAAGATGGTGGTCCTGCTATCCTGGAGCCTCCGCCCGCCGGGAAGGACCGCCCAGGAGCAGATGTCTGTCCTGCAGCGGGGCCATCTCTGCAGCCCCAGACCGGCCCAACAAGGCACCTCCCAGCAGCACATCAGCTCCCGGCGCCCAGGACGGGGAGCGCCCGAGGGATAGCCCCACAGGCCTGACTATGCGGGCAGGGCCACCCTCCCTCCATGCACCTGCTCTCGGGTCTAACACTAAGGAACCAAGCCATGCAAATAGTTTACTCACTTAAAAAAAATTAAATTGAGTGGCGCCTGGGTGGTTCAGTCAGTTGAGTGTCTGACTCCTGATTTTGGTGAGGGCCATGAGTTCAAGCCCCTCATCGGGCTCTGTGCTCCATGGGGAGTCTCCCCCTCTCCCGCTCTCTCAAATACATAAATAAATCTTTTTTTAAAAAATTAAGTTGAAAACAGTGATGCCCAAAAACCAAAACTAGAACGAAATAAGCCTAAGGGTGACCGCGTTGGGAGCGTGACCGCACAGACAGTTATTCCAGGTGACGTGACCGTGTGTGCAGTAAGATGTCAGCCAAGGACAAAACAAAGAAATGCTAGAAGAACCCCAAACCACATGCAGCAGTCTTGCTGTGGGTGTTGACGCTGACAACGTTCTTCTGAACTGAGGGTATCTAAGCACACGAAACAGGTAAACGGCGTTACTGTCGGCAGGTTTCCAGCCTCGGGGGAGGGGAGACACGGGAATGAAAATCGAAGGGGTGGAGTTATTTGGGGAATTGGAAATACCCACACAAACTCAGAATTTGTTGTTATTCTTCTAAAAAGCACACCCATCCCTTGTCCTGAGATGCCAGAGTATGAGCGGGAAAACCCTGTGTGCTGGAAGGAAGCCGGGCTTCCAGAGAAGCCGCTTCTATGTGAGGCTGTCCCTGGACACGAACGGCTGCCGGTCTTGTCCAAATGAGGCAGGGGGCACCAGGACGGGAACCGGGGGGTGGGAGCCGTGGGCGTCAGAAACGGATGGAATGCGTCCATGCACACCCAGTGTCCACAAATCCCAGTAACACCCAGAACGGAGGACCAGGGCGGAGGAACCTCCCCGCTCGCCCGCCAGCCAGCTCTAGGGCACAGATTCCTTATTTGGAAAACAGACCGGTGACAAGAGCCAAGCATTTATGGGTTTTTTGTTTTTTGTTTTTGTTTTTGTTTTTGAGGATCACCAATCAGCTGATGTGGGAACATTCTTCTATTTAGAGAATCACGAGCGAATAAGGGCAGGAAAAACGACAGGAAAGACTCACCCCAGTGAATTGCCAAGCGGCCCCGCTTGCGGGGAACCTGCCGCAGCACCCGGGTGCGACGTCACGGGAAGCAGGAGGGTCACACACGCAGGAACCAGGAGCCATGCCGCACCCGGGCGGGAGCCAGCGATAGGCACGCCAGGGGAGGAACAGGGAGAACATGGATGCTTCCAGAAGGCTCCCCAACACTCAGGAAGAACCCGGGGACCTGAGCCCAGCTCCGGTGGCCTGCAGGCTCAGGGGAGGTGACGGGCAGGAGCCGCCCCCAAGGGTTCGACGTGCACGTTCCCTGTTTTCTGTCGTCGGTGTCCTGACAGGCATCTGGGGGCGTTGCTAACTAGGTCCTCCTTGTTCTTATTCCGCCAACCCCAAGGGTCCAGAGCCCACAGCCCCATGTCCTCTCTGCACCCTCACACCCAGCTGCGACCCTGCCCTGCCGCCCAGGCCAGGTGCCAGGACAGGGGACACCCAGAGCCCAGGGTCGGCATTCCCCAGAGCGGCCCCTCGCCTGCCTCCCCTCTTCCTCCGTGGAAACCCCGAGAAAGCCCCGGCCACGCTCCCCCAGCCTCTCTGCCCCCGCGCACCCTGCCGTGGCCGTCCTCTTAGACTGGGGGGGGCTGTGACAAATGGCATCAGCTCCATGCCGGCGGTCTGTCCCGCCATGAATTACACCCACACACGTATCCTGCCTGGAACAAGGCCGCTGAGGGGAGGGCGCCTGACATGATAAGCAGGTGATGCGGCCCAGAGGGTGACAAAGGCGTCTTGGTGGCCAATCGTGCTCAAGGGAAGGGCTGGGGGCCAAGCCTGTGAGGTGCGGTGACATCTAGGGCCGGGAGGAGAGGCGTGACCAAAGCAAGAATGGCCAGACATCAGCCACTGGGGGGGGGCGGGTGTCCG